GAAGGGGGAGGGGTGGGGGTTGTGCTATAGCTTAAACAGAGTCACTACATCACTACTACTGTGCTTGGATGCACCGAAGTGGCCATTTTAAAGTCAGGTGTCATAGCTGGCTTCGTCAGAGCTGATTGGGTGGAGAAGACAGCTGTTTATGAACCAAAACACACACGCACACAATAGCTGTTCTATGTTATTGTGAAGCGGGAGAGGGAGTAATTAGAATGTGGTTGCCATGGAAACAGGCAAACCACTGCCCGTCTGTTTTTTTTAGCCCCCAAAGCATTGCTGAGAGGAGACCTGCCTCCTGCTTCTCGTCTCCACACACACACACACACACACAGATGGACAGACAATATTTACAGGATGTGACAGGCCTATCATGAAGAGAGAGAAAGACAGTGGGGGAGGAGAAAAATAGCATGTGCGTTTAAAAATGAGATGGTTGTGTGTCTGTGAGAAGGGGCAGAGGATGATGAGGTGCAGTCATCTGAAAATGGTGGAGGTCCATCAATGCTGTATAGCGACAGTGAAGCCTCGTAATCATTTTAATGCATGTCTGACTGGACCCACCAAGACAAAAGCACAAAATGGAGGACATAATAAATAAAATCAGCTCACATGCTACAAAAACATCCACAGATTCAGGGACGTCAGAACTGACATATAACCCTATGTTTAGCTTGCATTGAAAGCACATTTCTGGAATAAAATACGCTTTAAATGCTATAAAGTATGGCCTGAAGACAGTAGCATTCTTATATGACATACACACACACACACACACACTTCAACGGTCAACTGTTAGTGGTACTATAACAAAGATGGAAGCAATTGAGAACAACAGCACCTCAGCCACAAAGTGGCAGTCCATGTAAAATCACAGAGCGGGGTCAGCACATGCTGATGCGCACAGGATGTAGAAGTTGCCAAAAGTTTCTGCAGAGACACCTCCAAAGTTCGTGTAGCCTTCAGGTTATCTTAAGAACAGTGCATCGAGAGATTCATGGGTTTCCATGGCCGAGAACCTGTATCCAAGTCTTACATAACCAAGGGGGAAAATCAGCCCAAAATAAGCCAGATTATCTTTTGGTGTGTACCCAGCATTCGTTCCAGTTAGTTCAGCATGCCAAGACATTTTGGACAATTTCATGCTCCCAACTTTGGGGATGGCCCCTTCCTGTTCCAACATGACTGAGTCCTGACCTCAACCCGATAGAACATCTTTGGCGTCAATTAGAGCGGAGACTGCGAGCCAGGCCTTCTTGTCCAACATCAGTGCCTGACCTCACAAATGCGCTTCTAGAAGAATGGTCAAAAATTCCCATAAACACACTCCTAAACCTTGTGAAAAGAGAAGCTCCTAAACCTTCCCAGAAGAGTTGAAGCTGTTTTAGCTGCAAAGGGTGGGCCAACTCCACCTTAAACCCAAGTTCATGTCCAGGAAAGGCAGACGTGAAGCTTTGCCTTTTTTAATTCAATTAGGATCCAAGCAGAGAAGCGATCAAAGGCCTCCATTTTCCTTATTTAAATACAGTTACACGAGTAGTGTACGTAGCACTTCGACTCTGCACATATAAATCTATGGACTCGGCGCAGTAGAGGGGGGAGAGGATTTTTCACGAGTGATGAACGCCGAGTCGAAGTGCTCCCGAGCACTTGTTATGGTATATTATGGTATAAGTCCCGCCCCTCCGCTTCTGGCTCATGGGACCTTATTTCGGAAAAAATATAAATGGTAGTCAATGGCGCGAGAGACAACTTATGTTTTTATTCCGTCTGAACTGTGCCCTCAATTACACATATGATGTTTGCCAATTTAAAAGATAATTCTGAAAGTCAAAAACGTCACAGTTTGTCATAAAACAGAAGAGTAACATTTAGTTTTATGTGAAAATCGCTCTATGAACTACATCTTGTACAAAACACTCAGGTATGACGGCGTAACGTTACGATTATAACGTAAGACTATAGAAACAATGACAGACATTAGCCTCAGTAAAGTTAGCTTCTTTCATTGAGAGAAAATGTGCGCCTTTGGGGTTTGTAGTCTTTGTAATTACGTATTTTCACAGTCTTATACCTCAACGGTTTTACATCAAACTGCGAATTTCTTTACTTTAAAATGTATCTTTTAAATTGACAAACATCATATGTGTAATTCAGGGCATAATTCAAACGAGATCAAAATATTTGTTGTCTCTCGCCATTGACTACCATTCAATATTTTGGTCCCATGGTGGTCGACCGGAAGGGGAGGGATTTAGGCTCTCTATATGCACGCATAAGTTCCGCATTTGACGCAAGGATGCTCGTTAGTTTCCGGTTGGGGAGCGGATTTAAAGCGGAGGAAAACGGAATAATTGCAGTTTTCAAAATTTACTGTCCTCCTGTCTTTGAAATGAAACTTTCATACGTTTAGATGTAATTTTATATATAGTTATGTTTATTTAATATAATTTTAAAAAGACGCATAAACACAATGAGGGGTGTATGTTTTATCTGTTTTTGTGACTAACGTTTCTTTAGTATAACCATGGAGTATAAAATTCAATATATATTCTCGGTATTGCATTGGACTACGATCGGCGGAAGTTATCGAGCATCCTTAAACCTTCACCGGAAACACCGCCGTGCATAGAGCCCATTCCGCCATACATTATAGTTATCCACTTTACACGCTTAGAAAAGCGCAACTATAATTTGTGTCACCATTCTTGGTCAAATTACACTACTCGTGTAACTGTATTTAACGAGAGAGGTATCAACTCGTCTTAGTTAAGGGAATAACATAGTTTAATATGAAAAAAACAACGCTGGAGTATCCCTTTAAAGAGACTATGCTTAAGTTATTTATATATTATGGAGGGATACAAGACCAACATGTAATTAACAACTGTCTCAAACTTTTAAGAAACTATAATACTTTAATTTTAAAACAATACCAAAGTTAAGTGTGCTTAAGTAGGCGAATCTGAACAATGAAGCTGAGCGTTATTCCTCTAAGTCTGTATTAAGCTCCCACAAAGGTGGGCGGAGAGGTGTGATAGATTTTGTATTTTCAGTTATCAGATTCATTTACATTGTGACGTGTATCATAATTAATCCACTCTGTCGGTGTCTGCAAAGGTGTGTGTCAAATGGCCCATACAGATGAATGGCCCATTCAGATGTAGAAACTGATTGGTGTGAATGACAAAGACTCAGCATTGCTCAGAGTGAATTAGCATCTCCTGTGGGAGGTCCTAACAGGTTTCTATTGTTTGTAGCCCATAATCTTCATGTATAAAGTTCTGTCTTACAGACAGAACATTGGGTTAAGATTGATGAAGGGTGACATGATAACATCGCTGCTGAAGAACTTCTACACTACAAACCTTCAATAAATTCTTCTCCCCACAAGAACTGGTCAAGCTTACTTATTTTATGTATTGGAGAAATCCAATACATTGGCGAGCCACTGAAACCACTGGTCGGCATCACCAAAATCTAACAGGTGGGTCTAATCTTCTTCAGTTCAATCAGGATTGTGTCCACACACGACAAGGAAACACAGCCCAGGGATGTTGAGACTTAGGTGTTAGACAAATTTTGTTCTGTGAAAAGAACGAGGATTAAATATCAAACTCCTACTGGCATAACTTCATATTTAGTGGGAGAAATCGCACAGGCAAGAATCACAGGCCACTGATGCAAAAGTCATTCTATGAAACAGGGCTAAAGTTTTGATTAGTGCATTTCACCACCTCAACCTTCTCACTATACCATAAATAGAGATCAATCTACCGACAACAATTTTTCATCCTCCAGTAAAGTTTAAGATTTCCATGAGTGCACACTGTCAGATAACTGTCAGAAAAAAGGAATAGGGAGTTCTGATCACCAGATTAAAAAGCAGTTTTATCTCTATATTCAGAAAGCCTATTTATAATAAGACAGGAATACAGATGAGGGGCAAAATAGAGCAAGTTTTCTCAGATGTGCTGCTCATGTAAGAAAACAAAGGATGATGAATTTAAATCACAGTGTCCAGGGAGACATGCTCCAGGGAGATATTTAAAAAAATTAGTTTTCATATCCATGAATCTTAATTAAGCTCAAATATACAGCTTTACACAAGATAGTCTTTTATCCTATGCTATAAATCGGTTACAAGTTTGCTGTGCGATTATCATAATTACACAAACAACAGCCTAGCAAATCTCAACCACCTCTTTTACAAGAAGAAAAATATCTCTGCCAAGAGCTTGAAACAACCATCATCCCCTGCAAAAATCCTAGTGTGAAGTAGTGATGGACTAAATATCTGATAAAGAGCATGATGGCTGATAAACTACTTTAAAATCTATTGACAGACCAGCCAATGCACATGGAATAGAACATTTTCTATTTTTTTTTTTCAATTTTTAGTAAATAATCAATTATGCTGTTCATACACTGTAAAAATTAATATGCTTTATCTAATCAATAAAATTGTGGCAACAGATTACAAGCAATATTATTTATTAAATTGAACAAATTAGAATTGAGTAATAGTTAATCAAATTAATAGTCTAATTAATTTTAATTTGTACAATTTAATTAATAATATTGCTTGTAATATGTTGCCAAAATTTTATTGATTAGATAAAGCATATTATTTTTTTCAGTGTATTAATTAAACAATAAGTTACAAAAACTTAATTTGTATCTTTATTATACAAGTCTTTTACAATTTCTTTCTGGAATAATTACTTGAGAAATATTCATGTTTTCTTAACTAAATAATAACAGAAATCCTTAACATATTGTTAAATTTTAATTAATAAAATATAAATATTACTAACAAATTAAAGGGCTGAGTTCAGTAGCATACTAGATTTAGCTATGGTCTCGTAATTTTACTGATATTGTTATTGATTGCTGAAATTTTAGAATCATGACAACCCTAGCATCAGCCAATCAAAAACCCATATTGGTTGACATAGACACAGGTGCAGAGTCTCAATCAAAAGGGCTAATCTCACCTTATTGAAGTCTTCAGAAGTGGCTCTCATCTCTTTCCAGGTTTTGTTGAGTAGCTGGATACAGATGCAGAAGAACTCCTCAAACGAGCGGTCATGGGTGAAAAACATGGGATGGAAGTCATGGCAGTTCTCGCTGGCTGTAAACAAACAATTGGGACAAAGTCAGCGTTTTGTTCAATGTCAAATGTTGCTCCCCAATCCACCTGAGGAAAGTTGATTTATCAGGTAAAGCATCAATATCCATATCACATGACAAAGCAATGCCCTTTATTTAGGTTGATCTGCACTGAAGTCTCAAGAGAACTTCTGACTCTCCAACAGGGACTTTGAAAATGAACTTTTAAGGAGGCTCACGTGTCTGCTTTCTTAGCCAGCTTCAGCCCTCACGTGGGCTTCTCATGCATTGATGCATCAGATATGGCTGGGAACGAATGGTGCTACATCACGACACATCTCTCTGAAAGAGCCTTTTGGCAGAGCAGACGATTATTTTCAAGCATTAGAAGCATGCGCTTGGCTCTCAGGACACCTACACAGTTGAAGTGACTGTGAATAGTTGGATAAAAATGGCTTTTTTATTGCCGTGTTTTCTTTCAATGCATTCCCCTGCCAACTAATCAGTGGTCTTAATTCAGAAATTCAAAAAAAAAAAAAAAAAAAAAAAACGTTGAGATTGTCAAGAACCTCTTCCAATCCCCACAAAAAAATTACATTAAACTGCAGAGTTAGGGTCTTGATTTTGTGGCCTTGGTCTTGGGACATCTCAAGATCACACACAAACATGGCCCTTCTCTGGATTTCATTACTTAGATTCTTGGTCTGGGTTTTAATATTGTAGTCTTTCTGACTAGTTGGTGAGAGAGATTACTCAATTTTGTATATTCACATTCCTAGCTATAGGCCTTTATCCCTACTCCGCGTTCCGGAAGCAGGAAGTGTGACACAGAACTTCCGGTCAACAGTATTTCTCTACAAGGATTTAGATTATCAGACCTAATGTCTAAACCATCCAAGGTAGACTGACCACGAGCTATGAGGTTGTGAAAAGCTACAAGTTTGTATGAACTCAACCTTGTTTAAAGAAAAACATGTTTTATGAAAAAAAAATACGCTACCCACAATCCTAAGCGTAATAGCAAAGTATGCTGATTGGTCCAACTCGCTGTTCCCATAGAAACGTTTACCTTACTGACGAACGTCTAGAGCTACCCGCGGCTGTTGTTGTGGTGTGCCGGGTTGCTCTGCATCAGGACGTAGACAGCCATACCTCAGCTTTCACGCTTTCACACTTGAGAGTTTTCATTTACCATACGAACCACATCGTCATACGTGACTTCAGGCAGGTTGCGGAGAGATTTGGTCCAGCAGTATCTATCAGACTCCACCATTGTAAAAAGCTAACCGGAACGGAAGAGCCATATCCCTACTAAAAGACATACTTCTGGTCTTCAATTTTTTGGTGACATAGGCCTATTCTGATTTCCTTTTTTGAAAGATGCATATAGACTACTGCCATCTACTGTTATGGAGAGTTATTTCCTCTCATGTAGATGCAGAAGAATAGGCTATTTAGCTTGGGAGTTAGGGTTAGTCTTTACAATGTGCAGGGAGCAGGGATGCGAGGTGACAACGGTTGGCTTTCATCACCGCCTTTCCAGTCTCAGGTCTGGATCTTCTCAACAGAACAGCTGAATCCCAATTTCCTCTCCAAAAGACTGCCAAAAGACACTTCTTTGAACACTTGACTTACAACTGTTAAGGCACTAACTCTTAAAACTTTCTTGTAAAGAACCCCTCTTCATTCTTATTCTGTTGTCTCATGGTACCCCATACTTTTCCACTTTTCTGAGCAATTCTGAATTCTTATCTTCTCTTTTTTTGTATCCTTTATGTCTAAGTCACTTTGATTAAAGCATTTGCTAAATTAATGCAAATCTAGGTCTTATTTTACAGTCAATAAATTCAGCATTTCTTTTTCAGTTCATGAAAATGCATCTTGGTCTGAGTCTCTGGGGTCTGATATTGGCCTGGGTCTTGGACTTCAACTAGCCTCTTACTAGGCTTACAAGCGCGTAACACATTACTTTACAGCAACATTCAGATGCCATATACTGTACATGGAGATGATGTTGGCTGATTACCCTCATAAGAACGATAAGAGAGAGACTTGCTCCTTATCTCACCACTTCATAAATGATCCTCAAAGATTTCCCCCAGGGATATTACTAAAGCAGGATTATGGAATGAGAGTTCTGCGATGATCTATCGTGCGAGATTAGTGCTTCATAAAAAATAATAAAAAAAAGCCTGAATCAAATCAGAATGGCTGCGTGGGAAATTAAAGTCTGGGTGAGCGCTATAAAAACTGAAAGTGCCATTATTGTGTTTATAAACAGAAGCAGTCAAGGTGAAAATGAAACTGAGGCTTTCACCCTGAGGAAGCACACACCTATGTCAGCTACGCCACTTTAATACAAACACTACTCGAGTGGAATGGTGCTTTGAATGAGAGCCACTATTTGAGATTATCATTTAGGGGAATTGAAGTTTCAGAGAACCTGCCAAAGCCCCAGCAGAGGGCCAGTAATTGCATTGCCTTGGTCAAAATTGAAACTTCACAGCATAATGAATGATGCCTGAAGGCGCAATGGGGCTTTCATTGGGAGTGACGTCATCTGACCGGTCAATCTGAGGCTCAATCCACCAGACTGCCCAAGCCAAAGAGCCTGGTCCTTTGGGATGTCTCCAACTGATTAATTGTAATGGTTTCTTTCTCCTTCAGAAGTCAGAGGAGTTCAAGGGTGTGTTGAAAGGGAGGGCAGCACTATCAGCGCCCACCTGCTGAGGAATGAAATGTCAGAGTCACTTTGGCTCTCGCCTAAGCCCTGAGTTCACAGGTTTGGGCAGTATTAACAGTCGAGCTGGCAGTCACACTGAATGGAGGAATCTTATGAATCCAGGATTTTCTCTCATATTGTAACTAAAGAATCCTAAAAGATCGTTCTGACCTTTTATCTTCAAAGCAGTGTGATTAACACAATCCTTTCCTATTTGTTCAGAAGTCAAGAGACTTTCTACAAATATACACCATTATACACTAGGGGTGAAAATGTATTTACAATAGTTTGAATAACAACTATTATATTTGAACAACTTTGAATTGAATTTCATTTCATTTTAATGCACCTTCAATGTGATTAGTCACATGGCATTTGCAAATCAGCAAAAATGACCGAATTTAGTCGCATACTTTCGGGGCTCCTTCACCTGCCGAAAAACAGCCCTTAAAGATGCATGGCAATATTATAGACCTCATTGTATACATTTAGGTCCACACTCAAAAGCATGATTACATCATATAACATCATTACATCATATTAGTCAGTTTCTCATGACTGACACAACAGAGGAGGCTAAGATATTATGTGCATGGTGTGAGTATTACTGTAACATGGGCTTTGTGCTCTCCGGCTAGCAACCGCAGTGCAAAGCTGCAATGTAAATAGCTTACAATTCAACATGTCAACTGGTTAGTTGGGTAAGCAGAAGGGCTGTCAGAAAAGTGTTAAAACCTGTTTCCTGACCTTAATCCGTCAGCACAGTCATATCTGACCTCCTGTCCTCCCTCCATGAGCCAGCTATGAATCAGCATCATACCAGCATTCAATGCAGAAGTTATGATTAGGGGTGCAAATGGTTAATGGATTATCGATTATTGTCGACAAGTAATCACTCGATCAAGTTAAATTAAATGTCGACTAATTGTCAGATAATTACAATTGCTATATATATATATATATGAAGAGTTCAGATGCAAAAGCCTCTAAGTGCCATTTGAAATTTTCTTCTAAAATGATCATTTTTATCAAGATTGTATATTTAAGTTCAGTAATTTCACTTAAATTGCAATGAAGATTACCTATTAATTGTCATTTAAGTGAAATTACTGAACTTAAATACACAAGCTTGATAAAAATGGTCATTCTTGAACAAAATTTCAAATGGCACTTAGAGGCTTTTGCATCTGAACTCTTCATATATATATGTATATTTAGAGGTCGCATATCAGAGGTTGCACGCCTCTGGTGCAATTAGGGTTTAAGTGTCTTGCTCAGGGACACATTGGTGTTTCGCAGTGGATTTGAACCGGGGTCGCTCACACCAAAGGCATACGTCTTATCCACTGCACCATCACCACCCCTATGATGGTCTATTACAGCATCAATGCAGAATTGTTCACGTCCACATCGCGATTGCATCATAGGAACTAGCGCTGCACAATTAATCGCACACAATTTGGCAAAGGCTGCGATTATTTTTATGCGCAGCTTGTCAAGTGCAGTGCGGCTGATTGGTAGTAAATGCTACTCCATCTGAACACCAGAGGGCGCTCTCATGCAGACAAACCAAATTTGCCCCGCCACAGAAGTAGAACACGCCCGTCATTACAGGAAATTCCCATCGCTATAGACCTTATGCACCAGAGAAATGTGGGCGCCGTCATCTTTAGAATATCGTCTTTGAACTTCCGTTTTTGCGGTCCCTCTGTATATTTCTATGGCATCGCTGTCGAGGAGTAATTAGCTGGTGAAGTGGATTTACTTATTGTAGAGTTAACAAAAGTTATCACGAGCATTGTAATGTCTTAAAGGAGAACTCCGGCGAACAATGAACCTTTGGTCTAATAAAACATCGGTACCTAGTCAATCGTTCTCTGAGATTTGTTTTCATAATAATCGAATGTAAAGAATTTTATCGCTAAAAACTGTTTAGCGTATAATGCAATTAAAGTAAAAAGAAATCGCTAGTTTATAGCACTAACAAGGCTCAAAATAGCCCCACACTAACACAGTAACATAATGAGGCTCCATACATGCAAAACGAAGCATTGAGAACTTTGTAAGTGTACGGACCGTTTAATAAGAAGATACTTTATAAAGACAGTTCACTTCGCGTATGTAGACAGGAGCCATCTTAGGAAATAGTCTCGACTAGTCAAACCAGGAACGTCGTGCTGAGTGAGCTGAACTGTATGAAGTTCAACGAACTTCTGAACTGTATGAACGGCGTTTGGGGATCGACTTATAAGCCATAAGCCATCTCGATTTAAGTCGAGACCACCTCACTCGAGTCGACA